GGCAACTCATGTACTGCAAACGGACAGCAAATTGCCACAAGAATGAAGCAACTGTGCAATGTGCCTAATGGCCTTTTCCCACATTATAGTCGGACTTCCAAGGTAGGGCAGGATTTGTTTCTAGAAGTTTCCAGTGGGCAGTTGTCGGTACCACTCGGTCAAAAGACATTTTTGAAAATCAAGCAAGTAAGCATACATGGTCGTGCACAGCAAGAGGTGTGAGGCTGAAGTTGTGCATTGTGCCAAAACATGTAAATCACGATGAGATTGATAAAAAAGAAATTGACAGCAAACACAAACAGGTACCGTTGTAACGGAGGAACCAAATAGTCACTCCGGATCGCACCGCTATGAGGTAGAAGGTGGGAATAGAGAGAGAGAGAGAAAAAAAAACGACAGTGCAACTTGTTGTGTGTTCTGTGGCCTAACTGGAATGCGAGGGACCCATTCCCAAGTTATTTCTTGTCGCTCATCCAACCAGAAGGTTTCCCCTGTGAATAGAACAGCTGTTTATCTATGAGAAAAGATCTTCAAACTTTGCTGTATTGTCCTGGTTTCTCTCCTACCTTTCCCATGTGTCGCTGAACCTAATCTGTTGCTTTTAATACTGCCTTCCGTTGAGTACTCTCTTCTAGTGAACAAGTACGGTCTAGTCCTCCAGAGTCTGGAAGTCTAAACAGTTGGAAAGTTCAAAAGGTGGTTTGTTAAAACCAAAATCAACCTAAGAAGTGAAAAAAACAGATTCCGGGGGAAGGTGTGGTGTGAGAGAGGCGAAAACGAGTTAGATTCAGCTCAAGAATGGACGCTGGTTAGATTGCAAATCTTCCATCCTGAACGAAAGTTCAGCGTGGTCGAATAGTCTGGATTAAATGATCGAAAATTCCTCTCTTGGTTTGCTACCGATGAAAGCCATACTATGGTCATCTGTCTCCGAGTGTTTTCGTGTACCTGGCCGCCTGGAAGCATGTGAGCATGCGGAAAATCTATCAACTCTTACCAGGTATTACTCGTATCGTGCATCTGGCACGTGCGGAAGCGTAATGCAGGGTATGCCTTGGACCAGATGTCAAGGTGGGTGACTAACGTTGACTGAACTGGCATGACAACCAAACGGCGAAGTAATCGGGAATATGGGAGGTGTTGAGCGGCCAGAAAGGCTGAGAATAATGTCAGACGATTTGACTTTCTATAGAGTAGCATGTTGGTAGCTCAGGTAGCGTAGATGGTCGTTGGCGTGTTCGCTGAGCTGGGCAATTTGATTGCAAACGTTTCGTCACCAATCGAGGTGACATCATTAGTGCGTTATTGGGGAGCGTAGTGGTGCGTAGCGGTGGGTTGGTGGTTGTGCCAACCACACCCCGGCTCAGCGAACAAGCTAGCGACCGCAGACGATTTAAGCTTGTACAAGAAAACGCACTACATCGACGTAGGTCCAGAAGATATTGTGATGTGCTGGAAGTAAGGGGGCTCAGCTACAGAGCGTCTCATAATGGACGCAAAAAAGAATACTCCTGTTAAATCTTTGACATCAACTTAAACATTTTTCATGTGAACATATGTGCATTATGGAGATTTACTGTAAACAAACTGACATTACCAAAATGGTTGAAAAATTGCCTCTTTCTTCTATAACAAGTTGACACTTTTACCAAAGGAATAATGAAGTTCTACCATTTCAATGCGCGTACTGACATCCATCGTGAACAAAAACAATGTCAACACTTACATACAAAATCTCCTTTATGTGGCTACTGATAATGAAAAATTTTGTTATCTTTTCTTCAGCTGCTTGCGTTTACTTATCCAAGCAAATTTTGAATATATAATGAGACACCCTGTTCTTTACCATGCACAGAATTTTGAAAACATCAGTTCTCGTCCTCCTGTTGACTTTTTGTGGTCGGCTGCCGTAGCCTGCGTATGGCCGTGAGATTCAGACTGTTAGACTGGCGGAACTGAGGCGTCTTCAGATATGTGACAACCGTTGCCTCAGAACCAGAACTTGGAATCCGTAACGAGGCGAGCGAGTTTTCGGTCGTGAAAAGGGAAGTTTCATTCCACGATGTGTCCTGTACCAAAGCCGAGATGAGTAGGTCATGTATTGCGTATGCCAAAACATCGTTTGCCGAAGAGAGTGACTAATTCAGAGAGGTGACCAAGGGCATAAGGGTACGAAAGAGATTACGAAGCGTTTCGGTGTTGTTGATCCCACTTGCCTTCCAGGATGGGAATCACGTGACCAACACTTGAAGACGCCTCAAGATATGGCGGCCAACCGATGTCAGTGGAGTTCTCGTTGTCAGTTTCTGTCCAGACTTCCTGAATGGGTGTCTGCAGATATATGGAGGTGTACGTTCCACTAGGTCCCCTCCTCGTCCATCTCTATTCTTTTCTTCACTATAAAGTTTTCAATCAAATCACGGTTGTACGGAAGCGAGGCATCAGTGTTAGACATTGATGTCATGTTGTCGATGAGAATGGTGATGCAGCGTACACCGCATTAGAGCAGCATAAAGTACTCAGTCGCACCACTTTTCTGTGAAGAGTTTCCGTACTTATCGGCTGGCAGTTTAACATCTCGCATACTCCCCGAGGGAAGTCTAAGGTCACTCTGATGCTACGAACCAGCTTTATGACTCGCGACTCTTCAATCATGTCAGGTTGAGGTGCGCCTTGCATAAACCATAAGATTTCGGCGCGCTCATCCTAATCTAAATGAGCCCGAAATGCTCGTCCGTTTACTTGTTGACTCTGTGACAGTAGAGCTGTAGAATGTCATGCTAAGTCAGTCGACGATGGTCATGCGTCTTGAAGCCTGACCACCAGCACAAATTGTCTTCTACCAAGCACAGTCATGACGCTTCCGCATGTGTCGGATGTAGCAGGCGATTAGCATTTGGTGTACTATTTTCCTGTCATTTGCATGGGAACAAGGAATCCCTCAGACCTGCAGACAGACGAGTTCGTGGTGGACAGAGACAGCAGCAAAAATGACGCAGAGGGATAGGAAATAGCTTGCTCAATGTTGGTTGACAGTGTCAGCTATGTACTACATAGGCTGCGCTGGCTTGGCCACGTGCTGCGTATGTCAGTCGACCGACTTCCTCGAAGGGCTTTTTTCCACACAACCACGTGAGGGGTAAAAAGGGAGCCAGAAGCGGTCAAACAATGACTTGGTAGCAAAGTATAAAACCCATTACCAACAAACGTAGCTGCGCTGATCATTGCCGTCCTACTAAATGGGGACCCCGAGACGGGTCACATCAGTGTTTAGAGACATTGTCAGACATGGACCAGTTGCGCCCTCAATGGCACTCATGCATCCAGGCTGAAGCCTTCAGTGCATAGCTCCCTTCCCGATTCACGCGATTAAAAGTCCACTGACAGTGCTGCATTTACGCACGAATTTATCAGCTGCCGCCTCCAATGCGCAGCTACCTACCTCCCCCCTCCCCAAGTCATCGTTGAACGAAACTGCGGCAACTACAACGACTGTACGACAGGTACGCGGTTACTACAGCTAACAATGATGATGATGACTTAGGTTGAAAGTCATCATACGGGTTATCTTAGTTTCTAGGCTTCTACTGCGCTACAACAGCGTGAAAACTAAAAATCTGTTCAAAGCGTGAGCTTTATATTACTCAGTCTCTTGGACCACATGAGTCGTTATCTTTTCGTTGTCCACCAGAGTCAAGCACGAGCCCGTTCATTCTCAAAAGAAGTGTAGGTCTCTCTGGAAAGTGCAGTAGAGTTCGACGGTTCCTTTCGCTGAAAAGCGGATAATTTAGCTTGTATCAGAGCCACCTGAAGACCACCTGAAGGTTGCCACTTGACGTGTTACCATCTACCGGACTGCGAAGTTCATGCCATCGAAAGCGTCGGTGCTCTGGAGAACTAGTGATTTACAAGAAAGCCCTAATCAGACTGATCGCGGTCTCTCAAAAATATCCGGTGTTCTCTCGGGAAATGGAAGTATGTTATTCGACAAGTAATCTCATTTGTACAGGAATTTGATGTTTACAAGAAACTCAACTTGATGAGTCGGTTGCTTGCGATTTGGTAAGGTGATACGTAGCGTGGACAAAAATTCGGTGGCGCACCTAGCCACAAAGAGAGCCACAGTCCGGTCGTGGACTGTCGAAGAGTTTTCAACAGCCTTATGAGTAAGTATTACGTCTAGACAATGTATCGCAATATCTCGAATATCGTGCCAATCGAAACATGAGGTGGCTGGTGCTTAAAACACCATGAACGAGAGATTCAGCTGGGTTCAAGGTGAGTCTCCCGTCGAAACCAAATTGGTATGCAAATGAGCGTATGTCACTAATTTCATGCAATTCGGGTTCAAGTGGAATATAAGACTGACGGAAATTCGGGAACCGCGCCTACCTGGTGAGCTCGAAGAACGGCGAAACCGGTCGTAGGCTGTCAAAGAGATTCCAGCAACTTTACGAGTAGGTTCCTTCAAGGAAACCACTTCTACACGCTTCTTCGGAGGCATGATAAGGTTTTTAACTCACGGAATACTGTTTTATAGTAGCACGTTTGGGCAGTCGGTCTGGGATCTTCCGTCAACTGTTAGACAGCATGTGGACCAGAATAGAGGTTTGTGGAACATGTGACCCACCCAGAGGAGTTGAGTGTTTGCGATTGGCAACATAATATTGCGTTCAATCGTTTCTTACTGAAGTTGCATCGGAAATTCGTGGTAACAGACACACACGTAAGAAGGGCATTCGAATACTACGGGGACAACAGACGAGTGAACGTTAAGTTGAACAAAATCAAAGCTTGTTGTTGCAGGGGGTCAGTGAACACGCAAGAGCAATGGGGTTTCCCATAGAAATGAAATTTTCTCGCATTCGATTCAAGCTTAGTGATTATCAAGCTTACAAACTTCAATAAAGTTGGTAAAAGTCGTGTGTACTTGAAAAACTCCTAAGTTACTTACGAATGCAGCTGTCTGATGGTATCCAGTTCATAGGTTGTATACGGTCTTATTGATCTGCTCGAAGGGAACCCTCGCGATTCGACAAATGGAGTAGCTGATCTGTTGAAGAGGAAAGAAGCCAGATGAAATCAGTTAATTTCTCTCCGACGGGTCTCAAACACCTACGATAAGGGGAAATTTCTCCGTGCCTTACAAAGCGCAAAATTAAGGAATCAAAGTCGACGAAAGAAATCGGTGATAATTAGTAGGGATGTTTTGGTATTGGACAACTTTTCAAACCTTATCGAATTTATTGATTTAAGTGTTTGTCGCTTATCGCCCTCGGAGGTGCCATATTTAGTGGATGTGTTTGTCAAATTACTCCTGTCAGCAAAGAGTGCCGTTGATAAAGCTGCCTCTGTTCAGACATGTTTTAAGGGCTCCAACCGCCGATATACACTCAGTAAAAGGGTACTGTAGTGGCTACTTCGGTGTGTCAGAGCCTTTGCGCGTGTGCGTGTCCGTTCGTCGTTCCACGATCGATCTGGCGTGTGACCTAAGCGGCTGATTGGGTGCGTGTCCGATTGATTGCTCGCGTGAGCTGGTTTAACTGTATATATGACTCAGTTTTCTGCTTATCCGCCACGAAAGCGGACCACTTGGCCGCGTGTACTCAATGCGCACGTATCCCTACCTACGTGTTTGTCTGACCTACTGAGAACTAAGATAAGTGCTCTCGGAGTTAAGCCAACGAAAATGTTTGCTGTCCGACACGCTTAGTCGCCAGTAGGCGGCTCCACCAATCACAGTGGTCTTCCACATGAAAATTTCTCAGTCAGCAATTCCATGACAAGATTAAGCGATAGCCGCGCTGTATGCTTTCTCGGTGTGAGTTCTCCAAATTACTGATCGGACGCTTTTGGTTAAACGGTATACTGTTCAGATGCCCACTGGGTTCAGATCTCCGCAGACTGCTGAGATAAGCGATGGTGAGATTTCTCATCATTATCATCGACAGTATGACATTGGTGTTCAGCACTGACACTTCGCTGGTGTACAACCATAATTCCAAGCAGAATACTGTGAAGGGAGGAATAAAAATGGACGGGGAAGATGTATACACCTACAGACGCTCATTCAGAGATAGAAACTGGTAACGCGAATGCCAGTGACATAAAGTAGCAGCCACGTCTCGCGGTTTCCTGAAGAAGACATAGTGGGGGTCAAAAGGAACCACCTTCAGCTGTATTTCAATCTAGCTTTACCAGTAGACCAATGAAATCAGGAACTATTCTAAGGGCTTGAGTTTCAAACTGTTGCCAAACGACACACAAATTAGTCATTTACCTTCAGAGTAGGGCGATGCATCAGAAATTTGACAATCGTCGCATTATTGTGCATTAGTTGATAACGTATTCACAAGCAAATGGTGGCGAAATTGTCGAGATGGCTTGAAATCTATTCGAACTTGTCCGTGAACAGTATCCACCTTTCTAACAGTCTTATCCAATCTTGTGAATATCGGTCGAACACCTCGAAGAATCTGCTTGCTGCATTTAAGATATTTAGTCCACTTATCTGACGTTGGTGACAGTGAAGAGTGCCACCAGACTGTACAATGAAAACATGTTCATGAAAATGGTTTGCCCAAGCCTTTGGTTTGCAACGGACAAATCACAGGAAGCTAACTCATCCCAACATGTCCTACGCATCGTTTCAGAAGAGCCTGATAAACGATCCGTAGTTTTTATTTGGGCAACGTTTCGCTTTTGACACAAAAGCTTCATCAGGCCAAGTGAGCAGGTCACCAAATTGACCAGGTTATAAGACAGACGGGGAACCAATCAGTAAGTCAGTCCTCTTCAGATTATCACACTAGATCAGTGTTGAGTGTCAATGAACGATTCTTGTCGGTTGGTGTAGTTTTCGAAATCTTGCGTTGATGGATTAAGTGAGCTTCAAATTAATTCTGATTTTCCATTTCAGGGTACTTTAACTGACAATTCACCTCGGGTGCCACTGGCAGACTTTCCTTAGTCTTTATGGGTTTGTGAGTGCCCCGACAATGTCCTAAGCATCTTCCCTGTCATCTGATTATTACGTATTATTCGTGGCGAATTTTTTATTATTACAATTCTGGGGTTTTGCGGGATAGGTATTTTTGTTCATAGCCACATCACTCTCGTTTGAACGGCCGTGTTCCTGTTCTGGTGTAATTATTCTGGTGAGTCCACACCAAAGGGAAGCACAGGACTCGAGTTTCGTTCATCAGCAGTGCATATCCAATGGCCGTGGCGGGATTTGAACCCCGGACATCTGACATGCTAGGCGAGCGTGTAACCACTGCTCCGTCAACGCATCTGAACTACCACGTCTGAACGGGCGAAGTTGCTCACACTTGAGCCATGTGATTGGTGTGCCCGACTCATCGAACGACGACCCAGTAACTGTCCTGGTTGTGACCATCGATTGTTTCTCCAATATTGTTAGTCCTCTGAGGATGAAAAGTCCATTGATCTAGTTATTCGAGAAAAAATCCCTTTGTGACGCACTTTAAGCAAGTCGGACATCTTAGAGGCATTCGGTTAAAAATGAATTCCCGGTCGAAATGACAGAAGAAAAAAAAACCACATGGCCTACGTGAATAGTAAGGTGGAAAGAAGGATAGCATTCGAAGAATAATATGGTTTTACTCTTACGATAGAAGGACCGGGAAATCAGGGGAGCGAGCAAAGCAGGAGGCGCAAATGGATGCCGAAGCAATTTACGAAACGTTCTCTAGTCCGGCACAGGAAAGTTCATTCATGTGAATCAGTGTGTTTCTTTCCTGGTAAGACGTCAAACACAAAGACTGCATTCCTCGCTAGATCACTCGAGTTTTGTTTGAATAAACATTTCAAAGGAGAAACAAACTGGTTAAAACATTCCCACTAGGAAACTAACAGCATCAATCGATCATAAAGATCGGAACACTGGAAACTACTGGCAGCCGGTGCACCTTTATTGGTTGCTGAGCGGGTGACAATGGATCGAATTGTAACACACTACTCATACGGTTGCTGAAACTCCTTGACAGTCCATGACCGCTTTTTCTCTCATTGGAGCTCATCAAATAGGCACAGTTCCCGAGTTCCTCTCAATCCTATATTCTTCATGGACCCAAACTGAAAAGATTTCAGCAAACGTTTTGCACAAGGCTACGAATCCAGCTTGATCTGCCGGTAACGATGGTCCGCTTCGACTGATTGCGCTGGACCAGGCCGCCTCAAGTTTCGGTTGACGCGATATTTCAGTAGTGCGTATCTGATTACTGCGTCACATCTAGATATCCCAAATACCGCACCAACTGAAGGATGTGGCAGCCTAGTACATTGCATTTGGTTGAACTATACCATCGTAAACGAGAGATACTGCTGGATTTGTAGCTACCCGGTCACCCACATACTTGACTGTTCAGCTCACAATCGCTCACTAGATCACGAGCCTTGTCTTTTATCATACTCACAAACCACGTCACATTAAGCTGACACATCGGACATCGATTGTCTGTACCGTCTGGTGAGCGTAGCAACTACTCATCCGTTGACGCGCCCACGTACACGCAAACGGACCTACATATGGGGAAACCGGACACAGTCAGCACACAGACTCGTGCGCGCGCAGGGAGCAGGATTCCAACCACTCCCCACAGGCCCACGGACAATTATGGAACAAGTGTAGCTGCCATTCTGCGAAGAAAACACGTTCCCGCCGTCCGGACTTTCACCAAGGGACTCTCACACACAATAAGTTCCTCTTTTGACTTGCTCCCATTTTGCATTGTATTTCCATACGTTGGCATCTCACCATTGTCAACTTGTCAACTAAAAACTTTTATTAGTGCATATACCTTCTAATAGATTCAGTTGAGTTTCCTGTCAAAAACAAACTTGTGCTCAAATGTGAGTATCTATCGGAATGGGTGTTGACCTTTTCGTCACTTCGTCGCCGGTGAAACTTTCAACACAAAACCATTCAATGATAACGTCCCTCCGATTGGTGATATGGTTTTTGGATTGCCAAGATTGGGGAATCAATCAACAACCGTCTGGTCAACGACCAATAACTATGGGCCATGGACCAAGTAAACATTTCATTATTTTAAACACCGCCCCCTTTTTCGTCTTTTCGTCTGACTTCAGGGAAGTAAATCCGTCTTTACTTTTTTTTCAATGGAATTCCTAAATCCACCCGTAATCCTGCAAGCAATCAGATAATATTACTCGAATCTCCAGTGTTTTCATTGAGTCAAGGTGCTGATTGCATCTGGCGACTGAGTAACCGCACGCAGTAACGCAGTTATGCACGTGATCAAAATGTTCTCATGCGGTGCCGCCTCCGGTCTGAAAGGATAGGAGAAGAACACACAGCACCCGTAAGCAGGCGTCATCTTCACCGTACACGAAAGCTCAATCCAATTTCACCAAATACGCTCATTTGCATACAAATTTGGCTTTTACGGTAGACTCAATCAAATCCAACCGAATCATTCTTTTGCAAAGCAGAGATTCAGTTGAGTCACCAAGACCAACTACACGAAAGCTCAATCCAATTTCACCAAATACGCTCATTTGCATACAAATTTGGCTTTTACGGTAGACTCAATCAAATCCAACCGAATCATTCTTTTGCAAAGCAGAGATTCAGTTGAGTCACTCGTCAAAACCAACTTCGTATGCAAATGAGAGCGGTCAACGAATCCCGTCCGATTTGGGTTCAAGCATGACGTAGGGTTGATGAAAGCTCGAGGACCGCTCCTTACATGACGACCTCCAAGAAGGGTGAAATCACTCGTGGGTTGTCGGAGAGTTTTCAGCATATTTATGAGTAGCGTGTTATGTCTAGCAGCTGGTTTGCTGAACGACAACTTCGTTTTTGGGAAACTTATCGATATAGTCAAGTCAGACTATGCAGAATTGTCACCTACGCATTAAGAGGAAACCGTCACCTACACAAACCTTGCTTTATCAAATGCATTACACTTCCGTATGAGTTGAGTGCATTGAGCGATTAATACGTGACTGACAAATCTTTCCGCACTTTTACGTGCGCCCAGACGTGTACGAAGCGCCTTCTTCATCAGTCAGCTGAAATCCCGTGTATACTATTGCCCTGTCATTTGGATGGGTCTGGTATGTCTCAGACAGACAGGCAATGTGGCGTTGTGCGTTAGTCATCATCATCATCATCATCATCATCATCATCATCATCATCATCATCATCATCATCATCATCATCATCATCATCATCATCATCAT